GAAGTTTAAAGGTTATTTGTAGACGGCAGTCACGCTTGCTGTAAAGTTCCGCGCGAGCGACTGACGTAGACTTTGGAAATTTGATCATCATAATAACAATAAGATCAATGAATAATAAAAAAAAAAAGTGAGCTTGAAATTAAAGGCACTATGCGTACAGTTTTAGATCTCAAATATAACTTGAGATACATGACGGAGGAAAGAGATGCCATAAACTTGTCATCAAGATAACAATTTAAGCCAACAAGGGCATAATCAAGGCGAGGTTCGTTTTCAATGGAGCAAGAGTTTCCCGAATGATCTTGGATGAAGAGTTTTCTTAAAGTTGCAGAACCAATAACCAAAGATCCAACATTCCCTACTCCTAGTTTCAAGTAAATATAACATAAGGTCTCTAGAGAAGGCACGTTCACACTAAACATTGTCACGTTGTCTTGGTCATGTCTTTCTACATATAAATGCTTGAGAATACGACAACCTGATAAAAACCTAACAAGAGAATCTTCATCTTTATATACGACAGACTCAAGGGAAAGAGTTTTTAGGGATGGGAGGCAAACTGGAGAAGGAACATCCACGAGAATCTTGTCGGAAACGTAAAGAGAAACAAGTTTATCGCATATGTAAAAGCTCTCCGGCAAGCTGATAGGCTTTGACAACTAGCTGAGCTTGAACCGAAGCTTATGCGCCCTGCACTTAACTACATTGACAAGAAACTTTCCAACATCATTATCAGGACATCTTGCACCGAGTTCTATAATCAAGCTTTCTATTACAGGAGCCTTATGAAGTTGCAATGACTGGTCCATAAACCACCAAACACTTCCTTTCTTTCGATGTTTATAGTCACTATCCATGTACGTGAGTTGTGGTACCATCTTCCAAATAGATTGCCATCGTTTGGACAAAAGCATGGTAACCACTGCATCCTCTGTAGAGAGATACGACAATATCTTGATGAGCAAATCATCGGGTAATTCACTAATCGTCGTCCCAACCATTGGTGCAGCTTTGTCCCAACCTATCATCTTCTTCTCAATGACGAAGCTGTTCCGGCGAGAATCTGCAGTCTGTGGGCGACGGCTACAACTTGTTTTAAGTTTGTAGATTAGGGTTTCACTGGCCGGTTTAGTTCGGTTTGTGAACCCGGCCGGTTTTGTTTTCCAAATGGTTGAGTTGGTTTTGATGTAAATGGGTTGGGCCTTAGGGATTTAGAATGGGCCTAAATCCGGAAATAGCCCTCTTGGGCCTATATTTATAAAAGAGTAAATTGCAGGGCAGGGCAGAAGACCAAGTTTAATTTTCACGGTTTGGCAAAGTGAGATTTGCTTCTCACGTTTTGGCAATTAAGCCAAATTCTGACCAAAATACCCCTGCCAGCGTAACGACGTACTGTTCCGTGTACAGTTCAGTTATGTGGTTCAGTTAGGTACAGTGTTTCTGGTTGGATTCAGATATTTTCGTTTTTAATTCTTTTCTGCGGCTCCACTTTTTTCGATATTATCTTCTCTCGTCTTCTTCCCCAAAACTTTCATCGTAAATCCATATTTTCTATCTTTTTCCTTTTTACTGGGATTTTTCTAAATTAATCTTGCAATTCATTTGTAGATTCCTCAAATTCTCGTTCACCTGTATCTATTGATATCAATTTTGATCTATTTCGTTTATCAAAAAAAATTCTAGGGTTAGGATTGTTGATCTCCTCTCTAGTTGTTTAATATCTTGATCCATCGTTTTCTTTCGCTATTTACATCGATTTTCTTAAATATTCCTCTCTAGTCACCCATCTTAGTACAGTTCGAGTACCAACTAGTTTAGCTATTGTGACTGAGGGTACGTTCAAGTCAGAGGCTGCAAGGGAGGAGTTGTACGCCGAGCAGCTTTCACCGGTGAAGTTGAGAACAACTGGAGATGATCCGTTGATGCTACAGAGAAACTTCATGTATTCATTGTAACCTACATTTGCAGCAACACTTAATATCAGTTGTTGATTTCTTAGTATCAGCGAAATCATTTCTCCTTTTTATGCTCAATGGGTTCAATAAAGCACTTACCTATGTCGAAAATCAAACCAGGGTCAAGAGCTGCAGTTGCATTGACGAATCCGCTACCTATATCGAAAGGTGTTCCAGGGGACTGACTAATGTCGGGGTTTAAGACAGTGCGTTGTGCCATTATATGCTCACCCTTTCTGTCTGATAGAGAAGCTGTTGTTGAAAGTGTGGATGCAATGGCTGCAGGAGTGAAATGTAGGAACTTTTGTTTGATGAGCGCCGAAATACCCGTTACATGTGGAGCAGACATGCTTGTCCCCGATTTCATTACAAATCGTTCACCTAAACACCGCCAATTCAAGAGCTCAAAAAGACTACCAAAAACACAAAATGGGTAATCTTATAAGGAGAAATGAGGATATGTGTACCTTGAAAATCGGTTGTACCAATGCCAAGAGGACTCCAAGCGCCCCATATCGCATTTCCGGGAGCTACTAAGTTGGGTTTCATTATATCAGCATCAACGAAAGAATCATCTTCTGGGTCAGGTCCTCTAGCTGAGAAATACATGACCTTGGGAGCAGTAATGCTATAGGTAGGCTTCATGCCACCAACAATTCTAGCAACTGATGCAGACCCAACTATTTTGCCTGAACCATTCTCCCTCAACAGAGAAGAATTGTAATACCGGAGTTTAGACATGACTGTTGCCCACTTTAATTAATACAAACTCATAATTACCTCTTCTAATATTTGTTTATATGTATGAATAATTTTAAGAGATAAACAAGAAAAAACAAACAAAAAAATTTATATGAACGAATGTGATGATGGAAAAGTTTTGATTTTGTTGTTTTACAAAGTTTGGAGACAAGAAAAGCGACGAAGAGAGTGATAGGTATGATGATCCTACTATAGATGGTAGTGAAGATAGTGGCGAAGATTACGATTACAACAAGCGGAATGATGTAATTATAGAAGAATATAGAATTGAGAATGTTGAGGAGGACGTCATTCTCACTCAACAGACTGTTGAACATTCAGGGGAATTCAGTCGTCTATTGGCAGAGTGTACGTACACAAGTCAGCGTGTACCTGGCAGAGATAACATTTCTCATTTGGATGACCATACACTAACCGTGACTCCAACACGTACGTATCGACATGGTTTGTACAAATGTACGTACACTAGCGATTGTGTACAAGATACAGGTTGCGAAAGTGATTTTGTTACGTACACGGATACCAATATTAATGGTATAAACGAAGTTATTGGGGATGATGTTCTTGAGTGTGGTATTGGAGCATCAGCAAGTGGGGCACTGAATGATCATCGGCTAGTTACATTGGTGACGATGGTGACGATGTTGACGATGCTGTCCCTAGGACCTATGGTGACGATGCTGAAAGTGACCTTGTGTCTGGAAGTGCAAAGACACCAAATTCTATTGTAGCGACTTCAAATTTGGATACAAATAATGAGGCCATAGATTAGCAAGACGACGTTGAAGACGATAAAACAGATGAGGATGAAGAGGAGGAGGACAACGAAGATGGTGATGGGTATGATGATCATGAGGGTGACGATGGATCTATGGGGGGAAATACCCTCGATCCTACTATAGACGGTAGTGAAGGTAGTGGTGAAGAATACGATTACAACAAGTGGAAAGATTTAATTGAAGAAGAATATGAAATTGGGAATGTTGAGGAAGACGTCATTCACACTGAACATACTGTGGAACATCCAGGGGAATTCAGTCGTTTATTGGCAGAGTGTACGTACACAAGTCAGCGTGTACCTGACGGAGAAAACATTTTTTATTTGGGTGACATTGCACCAACCGTGACTCCAACCCGTAAGTATCGACATGGTTTGTACTTTGTACCAATGTACGTACACTAGAGAATGTGTACAAGATACATGATGCGAAGGTGATTTTGTTACGTACACGGATACCAATATTAATGGTAGAGACGAAGTTAATGGTAGAGACGAAGTGACTGGGGATGATGTTCTAGAGTGTGGTATTGGAGGTTCAGCAAGTAGGGTAGTACATGATAACCGGCTAGTAACCGCATTTGAGGCTTACAGAGTGTATAATGGGTTTTCTTCATTACATGGTTGTGAGGCAAAGATTCTCGATAATGATGTTGCTCCTGTATTCGATGATTTACCCAATTTTTGAGCCGATGAGACACAAGTTGAACTGAGTACGACATGTGTTACTTTGTATGTGGGGAGTGTTTTTATGAACATGCAAGTCATACAACAAACAATGGCTTATCTTGCAATCAAAGTTTGCTTTTGCTACAAGGTAGTGGCGAAGATTACATTACAATAAGTTGACTCATCTTGTTGTTGAAAAATATGGGATAGGACATGTCGGGAATGCTGGTGACACTCAACTTACTGTGGGACTAACGTGAAAATTCAGTTGATTATTAGAAATGTGTACGTATACTAATTAACATATACATAATTGAAAAAACACGATTATTTTGGAGAGAATAGTGATATTTAACCATTTGTAGTCATAACCAGGAGGTAAAACATGATTTTTAGAAGAATGTACGTACATTACTAATTATGTACACAAGGAAGTATCTGACGATGAATGTTTGATATACACAAATGCAAATTGGCATGGTACATGTCCCCAATATTAGTTTATTATTGTATCAATAAATTTATCTTAACAAATTTAACTCTCCAACAAAGATGTACGTACATTACTATACGTATACGTACATAATCTTTTCAGAAATATGAGGAACAAATATTATTTGACCATATATTTTTACTTAATTATTATATATGCATGAATTTTATTGAGATAGACGAAAGTAACAAAATAGCTTAATTTTGGAGTCAAAACAGGGTGGTTAGATATATAATTATTACAACCACTTTAATATTGTATCATATATGTTCCACTAAATATGTTCGTGTACGTACACCGTAAATTATATATACGTACACAGAAGAAATTCGATGAAAGGTAAAACTGTAATTTTCCTGTCGTCTTCAACCTAAGTATCCTCTTCTGCAACCCTAATTTTGCAGCCGTCGAATTTATCTTTATTCCCAGACATCCCAACAACGGTTGCTATCTCGCCAGAATTTCTGAGTTGTTCTTCGCCGGATAATCATTAACTTGCTCTTCGCCGGATATTTGACTTGAATGAGATGTCTCAAATTAATTTGCATAACAATTGCAACGCAGATTTCGAAAGACGAAGATGGATGAATGAATTTCGATAAGAAATTTGACTTCTCTCTCGATTCTCTCTGTATCTCTCGTTCTTCTTCTTCGTTTTCTTTGTTTTTTTTAAATAAATTTAAAACAAAATCGCAAACCAAATGAAACTGAACCGAAGCTAAAGAAACTGAACCGAATCTACTGTGCTGTTTAATTTCTGTCGTTAGGGGTATTTTGGTCAGAATCTGCTTTAATTGTCAAACCCTGAGAACTGAATCTCACTTTGCCAAATCGTGAGAGTAAATCTTTTTTTCATTGCTTTCGTGAAAATTTCTTTTTATAAAATTGCATACCCTTTAACAAAAAAAAAAAAAAAAAAAGACAAATTATATATGACATGGAAAATGATCAACGATATACACTTTTTTTGATCAAGTAGCAACAACATTATATGTAACATCTCTGGCGTTTATTTCTCGATGCCTTGTTGCAGATACTGTATCAAGTCGTACCCATACGTGGTCCATTTGTTGTAGGCATCGGTACAGACATGGATCATGAAGTGTGCGGCTTCACGCTCACTCATCTCGGGATGAAATCTCTTGCGAAGTTTCTCAATTGGATCTCCTCTGCTGAAGCAAGGCAATCCACTTTCCACCATCATTTCCACTGTACTGATGATCCCCTCCATGTACCGGCGAGCAGCCAAGTAACCCTTCACGCACAAGCTTTACGAGAGAGAGAAAGAGAGCATAGAACAGTCTTAAGAATCCCAGATGGTTTCACTTAAAAGGTCAAAAGTAAATAAAGTGTTGAGAAAGTTTACCTCACAAACTGATGCCAAGATTCGCTCTTCATATTCCCTGATGGATCAAGCAACTGTGTCATTTCGTGGCTCAGTTTGAAATGTGCGCTCTCAAAACGCATGTTTCCACCAGGGGAGGTTTCAAAAATGAAACCAAAATCAATGTGAACAAGCCTTCCCATGCTGCATTCGCAAAATATGTAATTGTTGTTTAATGAATTTTCCCACATAGATTCAGAAGAGAGGGTGTTTCAAGCGTGGAGGTTATCATACTTGTCGTAGAGGAGATTGCCGTTGTGTCTGTCTTTGGACTGGAGTAAAAGACTCGCCACCGCGTAACCAGCACTGCTGGTGAGGAAGTTACCCCTTGCCGTTTCAAAGGAGGGTGAGCCAACGGGTCCAAACTCCTCTTGAAAGATCTCATACAAGCCACCATCGGTTGATTCACCCATTTGACTTCTGCTTCGTGTATTTGGCACTACCTGTTGTAAAAAGGAGAAAAGACAAATAATAAAACTCACAATTCACATTTGGATTGAGAAATGCGAATGAGTTAAGAACATACCTCGATTATCCCCCTCCCTGCCCCAGTTGGAAGTACTCCATAAGGAAAAAGATAAAGATTAAGACCAACCGCTTGAAATATGTCTCTAAGAAGCGATATCACTTGAAGGGCAAGAACATCTTGACGGCAATCATCTCCAACCTGAATACAAGAGAGAATTGGATCACATTAAACACCAAACGGTGCAGCATAGAATCTTCAGCTAACATTGTGAAGGTGAGTGCGATAAGTATTCACCATGAACACATGATTCTTCAGCTAACACTGGCATAGAAAATAAGTCCAGAAGAAAAGATAGAATAAATGGGAGAGGTAACAAGACAATATAAGATTGGGACATGTATAAGACTAAGTGCCTGCAAAGCACTGGCTACCTTTGCTCACTTATGTTTGTCTATATCTACTTACAGAAAAGGAAGCAAAAAATATATATGTATTGATTTCTTTTCTTGTATTGGTAACCAACATGTAAACATCACAGGCTAGCAGCTTTCAGATCGGCCCAAAAACTTAGAAAATGTATATATATATATATGCATAAGCTAACCTTGAAAATACAAGCCTGTGGTTTCGCATCATTCTGGTTACCATCACGATCAACAACGTTAAAGGTTATCATGATAGGGACTTTGGCAGCTGATTGAAGGGTTATGCCACTGTCTATCTGGATACCCTTAACAAGCTTGTTAGGAGCCGTAGGCAAATAAAGGTCTTCTCCTTGCATTTTGATTTTCTCCAACTCCCTGCCACATAATATATATATTATAGCTTATCTTGCATGTCAACATGCCGATACCGTAATCTCCAAGTTAAATTTATATACTAGAATACTACCTCCTGATACCAGCTCTTCGTTCTTCCTTTGGAAGAGGAAACAATGCCCCAGAAATAGATGTAACCTTTTCAAAGAAGTCAAACTCTCTTTTGAACATGTCCAAGGCCTTTGGACTAAAACCATCAATGATATGCTGTCGAACCTCTGACAAGATTGCTTGGAATGATGTATTCTATAATATAATAGACAACCCGATGAGCACAAAGTGTTACAACCAACAACACAAAGCTGCAGATATTTTGTCTTATCACTGCTATCTCCAAAATAGTTTTTTAAAGAACAAGCCCATGCAAAAGCAGAACTATAGACCATCATGAAACCAATTTGAATATATTGGGATACTTTGCATGTTCTGAACGATTCAAATCTCAACAATTACATATATTTACTATTTTAGGCAAACAATCAGTAATACAGTAAAGATTCCACACTAAAGTTGACAGTTGACACCAATGCTATAAGTAGGAAGGGGTAATAGTGGACAAACCTTATCGAAAGCACCATCTTTCACAGTTTCCTGAACAGACTCACCCTGGCATTATATTAAGAGAGTTTAGAATTTTAAGAAAAACTGAACGGTTTCAAGAAAATTGATGTCTTTACAAACACCACGAAATTATACTCACCTGCAAATGCCACGTGAGGATATGAGCAAATATGTCACTTCTTTGGGTAGCTCTAAGAAGATACCCTTCAACCAGCCTCTGTTGGCAAAAACGTTATAAAAGTGAGTCAACCTTTTCAAAGCCATATAACCAGTGAGAGGAAAGAACTAGTCAAGTACCATATCACACAACATGAAAACATCAAGCCCCTAGAGATATGAAAATTTTCGCACCTTTTAAAAAATCAATTAGAAAAATTGTACAATTGATATCCTAAAGAAGAAGACCAGACTTGGTTTCTGGAAAAGGTGTGGCTGATAGATCGAACACAGATAAGAAAAATATATGGAAATAATAATTAAAGAGTGATATGGAGATTTTCACTTAACGACCGACTTACCCCTTCATCATAGCGCAGAGACTGCACTAACTGTGGCATGAAGAAAGTGACTCGCTCAGGGGGGTAGGACTCTAAAACTCGCAGGACATATGCCATGACACGAGGATGTCCCTTATAAGTAGGAGTGAGGAACTCAAGAGCCTGTGTAATTGAACAAGCAGCCCAATGAGGCAGCTGTCGCAACAGCACTGAGTTCTCTTCAACGCTTTTAGGTGTGACAAAATATGGCAACGCCTCAGGAATTGTACGAAGATCTACTATATGAGCCTACAAAAAAGTAATGCCGGCCGGTGAGAAATTGAATCTAACATCTGTCAAACAATACAAAAAAATTTTCATAAACCAATCTAATTGTCAACAAATGTTTTAGGTAACTTTGATAAATTAGTCAAATAAAAGTAGCATAAAAGATATTTGGTTTTGGTTTACATCATCCTTTACTGGTTTTGTGGATGTCCGTCCACCTCTAACCGCAAACAAATTAAAGTTCAAGTACCGAATGAAATGACCTCTGTAAATCCGTACCTGAACTAGCTGAGTGACTTGGGATTTCACAGCAATATTTGCTGGAAATCTTGAAGCTAATGATAGAGCAATCCTTGGATCCACTGAAAAGGCAGTTTTAGCATGTTCAGTCCATTTCCCAGAGCTTATTTTTAGCCGTGAATATGGAGGACTGTTCCTGTACGTATATTGCAAGTTAGAAGAGTGAATATCAACAGTGTAGGTAAAAGAAAAAACCTAATTAAATGGAAACACCATAAAGAGGATCTGTTACTTTGAACTAATAGGTTGTGCCCAAACATCAAGCCTATCAGATTCATGTTGGCAAAGAATCAGAAGCAGTTGCTTCCTCTTCTCCTTTCCCACTGCATAGCTGTCCATTTTACCCCAGACAGGATGATGATGATGATGATGATCCATCTGCAAATCCATCCCAAATAAATATCGTAGTTTGCATTCAAATACTGCGTATACCAGCATGCATGAAAGTAGAAAAATAATTAAAGTTAGCCAATTACCATACCAATTCAGTTAATTGCCCGTTTTCATGAGCTCTTCCTTTGGAATCAAATTGGCTAAAATCTGATCGCTCGTTTAACAAAAACTGAGCAAAAATTGAAACAGATTGAGCCTCACTCTGACAAAAATTCGGAATGCCTACATCGTACCACTCTGGC